AATCAAGCCGATAAGCTGGACAAGATTCTCTAGTTTATGGCAAAGAGTGAGCAAAGGGGCGTGAACACGGATGCCTCTATCAAACGCCTGGAAACACAGTTGGGCCAGCTTGCTACGAGAGTGAGGAACATGGAGGCCGACTTAGACAAGGGGAAGTTGCCAAGCCAGCCTAAGGAAGCCAAAGCCATGACGGTGTTGAGAAGCGGGAAGGAAGTAGACAACCACGTGAAAATGCCCGAGCCTAATGACCTTACACCAACCGACCAGCCCAAAGGAGTAGAGGAGAGCCCGAAGAAGAATACAGAAGCTGAGCCAAGGAAGCAAACAGACGGCCCGATGTTACACAAGTCACCAAACCCTTTCAAACCGAGCATACCCTTCCCAAGCTGACTCAGAGACGAGAAGCAGGAGCAGCAGTTTCGGGACCTATACAACATGCTCTCAAAAGTCAACGTTAACCTACCACTCTTAAACGTGATCAAGAACATGTCGTCCTACGTGAAATTTTTCAAAGACTTAGTGACCAAGAAGAGAAAATTCGGGGATGGAGAGAAAGTGGTGGTTTACGAAGCTGCGAGTGCTATGCAGCATGACCTTCCGAAGAAAGAACGAGATCCCGGGGGCTTCGTGATTCAAATAGCCCTCGGAAACAGAAAGGAAGCTTCAGGGATGCTGGACCTTGGAGTTGGGATCAATCTCATGTCGTTCTCTATCTTTCAGCGGCTCGGCTTGGGAGACTTGAGGCCCACCCGCATGTGCCTTCAGCTTGCAGACCATTCTATCAGATACCCCAAAGGGGTAGTAGAAGATGTCCTAGTTCGTGTTGGGAAACTGATTGTCCCGGTGGACTTTGTTGTCCTAGATGTGGGGGACGTACAAGAGAACGAGAAGGACCACACAATTCTTCTGGGCAGACCATTCATGGCCACCACCAACACCCTCATCGATGTGAAGAACGGGACATTGAATATGACGGTCCTGGGCGAGTCCATTTCTATTTCGGTCCGAGAAGCCACATCTGCATCCTCAGTGAACTTTGTGGAGGAGTGCGCCTTCATTGATATAATCGACCTGTTTGTGGAGGAGACGACTATACGTGACTATGAAGAGAGGACAATGCCCGATCTAGACGATGAAGAAGGGTCAACCATTGAGTTTTTTGCAGCTAACGAGTCCCACACACCAACTCGACCCACTCTAGAGCTCAAAAAATTACCCCGACACTTCAAATATGTCTTCCTTGATGACGAGAAGCAAAAGCCGGTTATCATTTTTGCCGAGCTAAATGGCGACGAGGAGAAGGAGTTGATTGACGTGCTCAAGAAGAATCAAAAGGCGATTGGCTGGAGCTTAGGTGACATTAAGGGCATTAGCCCTTCCACATGTATGCACCGGATTGTTCTAAAGGAGGGTGCCAAACCATTTCGGGACAGCCAGCGGCGACTTAACCCAAACATGATGGAGGTGGTGAAGAAAGAAGTGTTGAAACTTTATTCCGAGGGACTGATTTATCCGGTGGCAGATAGCGAGTGGGTCAGCCCGATCCATGTGGTGCCAAAAAAAGGTGGCATCACAGTCATAGAGAATGAGAAGAAGGAGATGGTTCCCACCCGAATCACTACCGGGTGGAGAATGTGCATTGATTATAGGCGACTCAACGCCGTGACGAAGAAAGACCATTTTCCGTTGCCATTCATTGATCAGATTCTCGACCGCCTTTCGGGCCATCAATTCTATTGCTTCCTAGACGGACTCTCCGGCTACTACCAAGTAGCCATAGCCCCCGAAGACCAGCCGAAGACCACCTTCACGTGCCCATTCGACACTTTTGCCTTCAGACGAATGCCTTTCGGCCTCTGCAATGCGCCCGGAACCTTCCAAAGGTGCATGTTCTCCATCTTCTCAAATATGCTTGAGGATTGCCTACAGATATTTATGGATGACTTTTCTATTTTTGGTACTTCATTTTCTGACTGTCTCCATAATTTATCTCGTGTCCTTGAGAGGTGTATTGAGTCTAATTTGACATTGAGTTGGGAGAAAAGTCACTTTATGGTGACTAGTGGAGTCGTGTTAGGTCATGTGGTATCGAGTCGTGGAATTGAAGTGGATAAGGCAAAAATTGATGTGATTGAAAAACTCCCTCCACCTGTGAATGTAAAAGGAATTAGAAGTTTTCTGGGTCATGCTGGTTTCTATAGGAGGTTTATAAAGGATTTTTCAAAAATTAGCCAGCCTTTATGTCACTTGCTTGCTAATGATGTGCCATATGTGTTTGATGATGCATGTGTTGATGCTTTTGATAAATTGAAAAATAAGCTTGTGACTGCACCCATTATTGTTGCTCCTGATTGGTCTTTGCCATTTGAGATTATGTGTGATGCGTCAAACCTTGCTGTTGGGGCCGTCTTGGGTCAACAAATTGATAAGCTACTTCGTGTAATTTATTATGCTAGTTTGACCTTAAACGGTGCCCAGTTGAACTATACTACCACCGAGAAAGAGCTTTTGATAGTAATTTTTTCTCTTGAAAAGTTTAGATCTTACATTTTAGGATCTAAAGTAATTATTCATTCTGACCATGCTGCATTGAGGTATCTTTTGAGTAAAACTCAATCGAAACCTAGACTCATTCGGTGGATTTTATTGTTGCAAGAGTTTGATGTAGAAATTCGCGATAGGAAAGGTTGTGAAAATGTTGTTGCTGATCTGTCTCGCATTGTTCCATCTGATCATTCACTCACTTTGCATGAGCATGTAGATATAAATGATAGTTTCCCCTATGAGCATGTGAGTGAAGTGACTAGTGTTCCTTGGTATGCAGACATAGTGAATTATTTGTCGGATGGAGTTATGTTGTCTAACCTCTCTTCCCAAGAGAGGAAGCGTTTTGTGTTGATGTGCAGGAGTTACTTTTGGGATGACCCCCTCCTTTTCAAGGAGGGAAAAGAAGGGATTCTTCGGAGGTGTGTGCCCGAAGAAGAGCAATCGGATGTCCTCGTCTTTTGCCACGAGCTTCATTGTGGAGGGCATTTTGGAGGTCGAAAGACCGCCTTTAAGATTCTCCAATCAGGTTTATTTTGGCCTTCTCTCTTTAAAGATGCTCATAACTTTTGTAAATCTTGTGACCGTTGTCAAAGATTTGGGAATATTAGTTCTAGAAATGAAATGCCCTTAGTTAACAATGTCCAAGTTGAGATCTTTGATGTATGGGGCATTGACTTTATGGGACCATTTCCCAAGTCTTTTGGCTTTGAGTATATACTTCTTGATGTAGATTACGTGTCCAAGTGGGTGGAGGCTAACCACACAAGGACGTGTGACGCTAATGTGGTTATCAAGTTTTTGCAAGGTCATGTGTTGAGCAGGTTTGGATTTCCGCGAGCTATTGTGAGTGACGGGGGCAAGCATTTTTGCAACCGGATATTTGAGAAGCTGATGAAGAAATATGGCATTTCACATAAGGTTGCCACCCCATACCATCCACAGACTTCGGGTCAGGCAGAAACGAGCAACAAGCAGATAAAGACCATTCTTGAAAAGACGGTCAACTCGTCCAGAAAGGATTGGTCCAACCGTCTTGATGATGCACTATGGGCCCAACGCACAGCTTACAAGGGAGTCTTGGGAATGAGCCCGTTCTGGCTCATCTACAGAAAGACGTGCCACCTTCCAGTCGAGATCGAGCACAAGGCATTTTGGGCGATAAAACGGATGAATTTTGATCTTGATGCCGCCGGGCAAGAGCGGATGTGGCAACTTTCCGAACTTGAAGAGTTGAGGAACGAGGCCTACGAGAACTCCAAAATTTACAAGGACAAGTTCAAGAAGCTTCACGACTCGACCATTGTCCGGAAGAACCTAGTGCCTGGTATGAAAGTCCTTTTATTCAACTCCTGTCTCCGTCTCTTCCCGGGAAAGCTCAAATCTCGGTGGAGCAGACCATACCTTATCGATGAGATGTTATCTTTCAGAGCTGTCCGACTTCGAAATCCGGCGAATGGTGAATTGTTTGTGTCCAACGGGCAGAGGGTAAAGCCCTATTTTGATGGAGGGTTCGGTAAGCATCATGTCGAGACTATCAGTCTCGACGATCCGTATACTTGATTCCGAATTGTGCCGAGCTCCTGGCTTAAAACCGAGCAATTATTTGTACTTTTTGTATATATATATTTTTATTTCCTTTAAATAATAAAAAAACAAAAATCGATTGCATTGGTTCCAGGTATCGCGCCGCGAGAGTCACCGCGCAGCAGCACTCTACCTCTCCGCGCCGCGAGGATACCACGACCAGGACTGCGGTTTACCTGTGTAACGCGTCGCGCCGCGGCACGCATCGCGCTGCGGCACATCATTCCTCGACGCGCCGCGAGACCACCGTGACCCGGACTGCGGATTTGGGAGCTCTTGGACATCGCGCCGTGGCACAGCTTCACGCCGCGAGAGATCAATGCTTCGCGCCATGGCACAGCTTCACGCCGCGAGAGACCAATGCTTCGCGCCGCAGCAGAGCAACGCGCCGCGAACTCTGCCTGATATAAATACGCCTGCCTCGTTCACTTCTCACATACAATCGAATTTCGAACCCTACCCCGTCTCACGTTCTCAGCATCCTTATCACTCCGACCTCCTGCCACCATTTCCGACCACTGGTAATTTCTCCGGCCGCATCACCAGCGCTCAGACCACCGTGCAACCGCCGACCCTTCACCTCCGGCGACGCATCATCTCCGGCCAGCCTCCCCCTCTCTCAGGCAGCTCGTTCCCATGATAAGAAACGAGGATATTTTGAAACACCCCTCCGACAATGTTATCGTTTCTGAGTTGCGGTTTTAAGGTACCAAGGCTGTCCCACATCCTGATTGATTGATTGGTTGGGATACTCTTGAATTCAAAATCTTCATAACCAGCTCAAGTCACACCCTTGCCCACCAAGTGTTCGATCATTTGTCCCAACCGGCTAACAAGGCTATTCGGTTCATATTTTCTTTAAATCCATTATGGTGAGAACAAGGAATGCAACTACGGTTTCTTCCCCGAGCAAGGACAAAGGGAAGGCCATCATTGTAGCTCCACCTGAGTCATCGGACAACTCGCACCACTCGGATTCCGATTCGGCGGAAGAGACTACTCCGTTAGCTTGAACCCATGGCATTCCATTTCCGGTTTTTAACGACTCAGAGGTGGCCACGTACAAGCGACTTGCGCCCAAACTATACCTAATCCCCGAGCTATCGAGTGGGCGACGATGAAAGCTCTTCATATCGATGAACAAGTTCGGAGTTATTTGAAAGTACTTAACTTGGAGAAGTACGCGAACCGTGATAATTTCACTGCCTTCCGGATGCTCACCCTGGAATGTTTTAGCACCATTGAGATGCACGATAACGGAAACTACCTCACTTGTCGCTTGGACGGGAAGGAGGTCAAAATTACGGATAAAGTTCTCTGTGATATCTACGGTTTGAAAACAACGGGTGCCCGCAAGAAACCGGGAGACTTCCAGATTGACAAACATTGGGCCTCCTTTTCACCATGCAAGACTTTCCATAAAGTCGGGCCATCGGCGGGGCTAATCAAGGAGCTTCCCATTGCGGTCGTGCATAAGTTCCTCTCCTACCACATCTTCGGAAAAAAAAGAGGCGGACAAGGTAAGTGAACAGGAGGTGTTCGTTCTGTGGGCTATGTGCGAAAAGAAACCGATATGCCTTCTCAATTTCCTCAAGCAAGCTCTTGTCGACATACGCCGGAAAACAGTGAGCTACCCTACTCTAGGTCATGTGGTGACCGATATTGTCAAGTACTTCAAAATTCCGGTAGCTGTTGAGGAGGGCATCGGTCCGATGGGCATCGGCTATATCGAACTTAAGTTTGGGGGTTTTCTGGACAGGCATTTCAAGTTCCAGCCCTATACCGAACGCAAATGCTACAAAGCTTACGTGAAGGAGATGACGGGAGCAGCAGCTGAAGCAGCTTTGTCGACACAAACCCCAGGCGGCCCTTCTCAACGGGTGGCTAATGAGACTGCCGACCCGATCGACCATGCTCTAGGAAACGACGAAGAGCATGCCCACATGGACTATCCCACACTCCAGTCCTATCATGGCATTTCCGACGCCCCATCAGAGCAGACGCCTAAGTGGTTCGTAGAGTATCAGAAACGCCAAGATGAGTATCAGACTCGACAGGAGGAGTACCTGCAAACCAAACCAGGCAGAAGTGAGCTCGCACAATGCTCGGGTGGAAGCCTACATTACCAAGAATGACGAACGTTGGGCTCAGTGGGACGAGACGCATGCTAAGCACGAAGCCCGTTGAGACCATTGGGAAAAGCAGTAGTATGCCCAATGGAACCAGTGGAATGACCAGTTTCAGCAGTGGGACACCCGATGGAGCTCGTGTTCCGATCAACCTTCCTTACCTCAACCGCCACCGTCGGACGCACAGTGATTTTTCACTGTGCTTTGTACGTCTTCCTTCTCTTTCTCTTTTGTTTGGTATAGCTTATTTATTTTGAGTCGGTTGATTGTGTGGTTCAACTCTCCTTCACTAAGGATCGACAATGGGGACATTGTCTGATTTTAAGTATGGGCGAGTTTTTGCATGTATATGTGGCTACGTGGTTGACCAGTCTAGCTCTACGTTTATTTGTCTTTTGAGTCTATTTTTGTCTTTTGTTTGGTGGACCAGTCTAGTTTTTAGTTTCTTTGCTTTTCGAGTTTGGCATTGGCGAGATTCAAGATTGGTTAATGATTGTTTGATGACGTTGGAAAGATGTGATGATGATCTCGAGTGGCATATTTTGATGTGGCTTGGTTGTTTCGATTAACACTTATACATATATACCTTGTGAGATTTGAGCCATATTCGTTCTTGTGAGACATTGGTCGGAGTACTTGTCAATTAGAATTTGCCTTGAGTCTACTTTGAAATAAATTGATTGGATTTGTGAACATGAACATGATTGAGGCATTCCTTGTATATTCTTCCCCTTTACTTTTTCTGATAATAACATTCCCTAGTCCCCCCTTTGAGCCTTATTCGATATTTTTTTTTATTGATAACCTCGGCATTGAAGGTTGAGAATGGGAGATGACAGTTGAGTGAAGTTGTGAATATTTTCAT